TGTTATATACATTGCATAATTCATAAGTCACATACACACCAGGGGAAGTGAATCTTGACAGAATCTGAAAGGAGTCCTTGTATACCTAACATTAACTCCCCAACAGCACCTGTCTATACAACTGATAATGGAATATCTGTCATGATTTGACTATATTGTGATGTTATAAGAACAATCTTAGAAGACTGTAATTAGCCCTGAATATACACAGGGCATGGATCTGAAGCACAGATGGTGGAACTTGTGCTGGAGAGTTCTTTGCCCAGAGGACAAAACCAAAATGAATCCCAGATACCAAAATAGGCCACTTCCTCAGTCACCACTTCAGATCCCACCCTTGAGGAGTCAAAATTCTGGCAGATTTAAGCAAATTTTATCTGCAAAATGTTGCACAAACAAATAATACAGATCAGGTAAGTTTTCTTGCTTGTCTACCCCCTGTAAGGACCAAATAACCCTATATAAGGCTGGTGGATGAAAACCTGCTGCCACAATCAGAGTGGAGAAGTATGAACACTTCATCATCCTTATCACCATTGTGTAGGCTTGAACATGAGCTTTTACCCATGATCAGTCAAATTCACTTTTAGTCTTTCTTCATTGGCAATCCAGGCATCTTTTGTGCTGCTTCATTGCCTATAACTCCTAAGAAAACCAAGGAGATTCCAAATTTGTAAACAGGAAGAAGATATTCAGAAGCAATGTTACTGAGCACCTTGGTCACATCTTTTGACTAGCATTTCATGGAGCTGCCTGCCAGAATACTGGGAAAATCATTAAGTACCCATAAGGCACCTGGGGCAGGCCATTCAAATTAGTCTCCTCCCTCCCAGAGATCCTGGGGGAAACAAATCTCATCTGGACTAGGAAGTGATCTGAGCACAACAAAGGAGTTAAGCAGCTCTCCATTCTCAGACGACCCAGCAACTGCTCCAAAGCAAAACCATAACTTAATGTATGTCTAGCTGCACAGATCAGGCCCAAGATTACTTGGGACAGGCCCATAATTGCCATGAAAGATATGACATCTCAAGCCCTACCAGAGCGCAAACTGAGGGCATAAAAGTTGAAGTACCAACAACCAGGGGAACTCCAATACTAGGCCAGCAACAAGGTCCAGGAACTCAAGTAGAGGGCCTGTCATAAAGCAGAATGGATAGTACACAAATAAGACTCCATCCTGTCCAACCTGACAAATATAGCTTCACACCCCATCAGTTCCAGAGCAGGGCTCCTGGTAAGATATCTCTGATAATAATTGTCATCCCCCACCCTCAGTGCTACAGATGGTTCAGAACCTGAAATGTGGGAAGGCGGATCTTTGAGAGGGCAACATCTTCACTCTCATCCAACCAGGTCTCATTAATAAATGCCAGGTGAATAAGTAACTATCAGCACCTTGAAATGGGCGTGGCATACTATCAGCAAATAGTGCAATGTTTGCAGAGCAGAAATAATGTGAGTGCATTGTTGGAGTCCACATAATACCCTAGCCACAGGGTTTTGCATTATAATCTCCATATATTTTTAACTGCGTACCAATGCTGATGTCACATCAGTGGAAGCTAGAAAAAAGGGGGGACCTGAATTTAATGTCATCATCTTAATCTACAACCTAATCTTAGGTTGGTTATTATGAAAGCCTCCCAAGGTCTACACCAGTGATTCTCAACCTTTTTGAAGCTGCCGCCCCCCTAAGGAGTGGAAAATTTTTCAACGCCACCCTTTGTAGACTTACACACCAAATTTGTTCGATTTAACTCGATACTTTTGCCCTGGAAGGTAATTGCATTCCTTTTATTAAAATTAAAATTAGACTTACACACCAAATTTGTTCGATTTAACTCGATACTTTTGCCCTGGAAGGTAATTGCATTCCTTTTATTAAAATTAAAATTAGACTTACACACCAAATTTGTTCGATTTAACTCGATACTTTTGCCCTGGAAGGTAATTGCATTCCTTTTATTAAAATTAAAATGACTAATGCAAAAAAAATGAAGCGAACGAAAAGCAACTCAAGTAACATGGGTCAAATCAAACATTCATATTGAAAGGATGCTCAACGCACGCACCGCGATTAATCGCGTGGGAAGACAGCTGACGCACGCGCTGCGATTAATCGCGCGGGAAAACAGCTGACGCACGCGCTGCGATTAATCGCGCGGGAAAAGGCGCGA